GAGTCAGACAAGTAGTACAGTGTGGGTACTACCATGTTACATTTAATACATATACCTTAAAAATAATATGTACATAATAGAGATTCATAGTTTCATATACAATTCTCCCTTTCTGGGTTTTTTTGTATATGGAAAAATTTGTGTTTCTTAATGTTTTTAAAATTCAAAATAATTTTAAAAGTTGTATCATGAGATTTAAATTCCAACATTTTGAACCAACCCTCTAATGATTTTCTACCTATACTGCTTAGTTTAGATTAAATAACAACATCATGCTGCTTACTCTCTGGCCACAATTCTCATTTTCTTGCCTACAAAACATTGGACTCTACCTCTGAGACGTTGGTTTCTGGGTAAATTTTCATCTTATCTTGACCAAAACCACCATGACGCTGTAGGAATATTTGGCCATCTTCATACCAGCTCCCCACTTCCCTTTATGAGTTGCCTCAAGAAGAAGCCTTGCCGAGCCAACCTTATCTCCCAATTTGACAGCATTATTAAATAGGTAAATCATAGAATTCTACCTAGTTTACCTATATTTTAGCAATGCTTTTGATATAATATCTATTCTTGTAGAAAATGTAGAGTGATTTGAAACTCAGTTAATGGTAAGAGGTCAACTTAACAGGTATCCAGCACACTGCCCCATGTGCTTGGCCTTGTATGAGCTTTAACATTTTTATTAATGATTTGGACAAATGCACACATAGAATGAGAATCTAATTTGAAGAAGACCTAGAACTAGGAAGAATAGCTAACACATTGTAGAGCAGAGTCAGGATTCAAAAATAAAGAAATTGACAAGCTAAAAACATTGGACTGAATCTAGTAAAAATTAAATGTAAAATAGATCAATGTAAAGTTTTATACTTTGGTTCAAAAAACCAACTCCACAAGTACAAGATGGAGGAGAAATGCTTACATAGATTTTTATCTGAAAAAGATTTGGGACTTTTATGAGACCACATGTTAAATATCAGGCAACACAGTGTGATATAGAGGCCAAAAGAATTAACTTCAGCCTTTGGTTGGGTTAAGAAAGTTGCAACTTCCTGAAATATAAAGGTGATAGTTTCCTAATAGTTTCCTCTGGTCAAACCACACTTGGAGTATTGTGTTAAATTCTAAGAACTGCAGTTCAGGAAAGCTTTAGCATCCAGAACAAGAGGCAAGAATAAGCAGGCAAGTATTGAGTCCTCACCTCTCCCTCTAACTTTAGCTCAGCTCACACTCCAAGAGTAGGATTTCCCTTGTCAAGCCCTAGATATCTACCCTCTACCACCTCTTGTTAACTGGCTTCCATCTCCCACCCCCTCAATTACTGGCTTTATTTTGGCTTTGGCTAGTAACTAATTGGAGTTAACGCTGATTTTTTTCATGGAACCCTTATTCATATCCTATATAATAACAATTCATATTTATAGAATAACAATCATAATTGTGACTATTTCTATAGCTCTTTAAGATTCAAAAAGGATGTTAAAACAGCAGGGTTCTAGAGAACCTAGCTGCAAGAACAATGATGATATATATTCTAAATCAGATGAGATTACAACCACGTTTTTATGGTCAGCAAACTCTACAAAAGAGATTAATCAACATTGTATTAAATCTTATAGATTATTAAATATTCTCATTTTCTACTACCTTTGTCATATATACCTTTTGTCCAAGCTCTATCCATTGTCAGAAATGGGCATTAATGTGTACTTTGATTTCTAAAAGACTTCCACTTGTCATGTGCAATTTGGGTAGGAACCATAAAACAAATCCAATACCACAAGCCCATAAAAGAAAATTGAATAAATATATCTTCTCACCTTAAAAATGTATTTAACATGATTACCATCACACCGGATATCTAGCTTTTCAAGTAATTTCACTGTTTTATCTACACCAATTCTTCCAGCTCTAAAGTCCTCCTGAATTACAGATAAGAACCATGTATGGAGAAAAAACAAGTTAAGGAAAGTCTCATGATTAACATTTAGTATTTATTGATTGTTAACATTTAGTATTATTAGTTTAAATGATTTATTAGTATAAATGATTAACATTTAGTATATCAAGTTGTTAGGTACCTAAATATTTAAAGTTTGATTCAGGAGCAGTTTAAAGAAAATATGTATATATTATATATGTGTGTATGCATTTCTATGTGTACATATACATGTGCGTGTGTATGTGTGTATAATAATACTGACATTTAAATAGCACTTACTGTAGGTCAGACACTGTGCCTTTACAATTACTATTTCATTTGATCCTTACAACAACACTGGGAGGTAGGTGCTATTATTATCCGCATTTTACAGATGAGGAAATGAAGTCAAACTAAAAATAAATGACTTGCTCAGGTTCATATAGCTAGGAGGGCACTAGATTTGACCTCAGGACTTCCTGATTTCAAGCCCAACACTCTAGCTACTATGCCACCTAGCTGCCTTATTATGTGCATATCATCCATGTAGATGGGGAAACTGAGACCGAGAAAAAGGAAGTGACTTATCCAAGGTCGCATAGGTAGGAAATATCCTCCAACTTTAAATTCAGTGCTCTTTCTACCATGTAACACTTCTCTGCCCCACTTCCTGCCATCACACACACATAAACTCTTTGTTTCTATGTCTCTGTCTCTCTTCCTCTTCCTCTGTCCCTCCCTTATGCTCTCTCCCTGTACATATGTATATATATATATACATATATATACATAAATATATCATAAATATATGTATGTATACACATATTTTAGCTATACACCAAAGAATTATAAAAATTAGACTCTATTTGGACCAATATAATATCTCAGTGGAGTAAAGGTATTCAAAGACATGAAATGATAAAAATTACAGGCGAGAGAAGGAAAACCTGAAAAAGGAAGTCATGACACCAGCAAGGAATATAATAGTTATTTCAGATTCATCTCTTAAAACATGAGTTTAATGGGCTTGCTACACCAAGAAAGGTTAAATTCTGAGCACTGACAGGAACAGGAAAAGTATAGTATGTCCATACCTGAATTTGGACAAAGATCTAGTTTTCACACCTCAATGAAGTCCAGAAAAGAAAATCTAAAATGATCAAGGGGACAGATGAACTGCCATTTATTATAAGATTAAGGAGATCTTTACTATTCAGGCTAGATAAAACAAATGATAAGAGGCAATTTTATCTGATGTGATAAAATCACAGCAGGGATAGATATAGCAAGAACATGGACTTACCAAAACAATAGTAATGGTAATTAAAACTAGTGGGAATAATGATGATAATAATAACAATAAAAATAATTAATATTTCTGTAGAGCTTTAAGATTGAAACTTTGAAAGACTGAAGCTCAGAATATATAAATTTGGGGCACATAAAAGAAATATTGTTTAATCTCTAATAAGAATTGGAGAAAATTTCAGAAATCATAGGAGTGGTAAGGTGGTACAATGGATAGACTCATAGACAACCAAGAAGATCTGAGTTCAAATCCTGACTCAAATCCAGACAATAGTTGAATGATCCTGAGCAAGTCACTTAACCTCACTGGACCTCAGTTTCATTATCTATAAAATGAGATGGTTGGATGAGATGGCTTCTAAGGTCCCTCCCAATTCTAAATCTATACCATGATTCTATTACTGCTAAGAGATAAGCAACTAAAATATAAGTACTTTTTTGAAAGATTCAGATAAATTCGTGAGAGATATGCCCTATCTATGATGAATTATAAAGAGCTACTGAAATGTTTTGGGGTATACATCTAAATTTATGAGACTGGTATTTAGGAGGGAATAATCCCCTAAAAAAGCATGCCATGATGCTAAGGCTAAATCAAAAATTCTATGTTGTATGGATCGTGAGTCAGGCCAAACATAACAACTCTTTTGTTCCTTACCAGATAAAGAGATTGATATTGAAACTAGAGAAAACCTAAGAAATCATGGGATTAGCAAAAAGTATGTGCTCAAGGAATAGATTTTAACCTGACAGAAAATCTCAGAAAAAAATTGAACTCAAAACCCAGAAAGGTATGAGATCAGGAGAAAGAAAAGGGGAGGGAGAAGTAACTTCTAAGTGGATATTTCTTCTCCATTTCTCAAACCCTTTTATGTCTTGTTCTCAGTTAGTCAAGCATTCCATATTTCTTGCTTTTATGATGCATCCAAAGGTACTCAGGTTTGCCTCCTGAAGTAATAGATTTCATTAATGCACCTGCCGCTGCCACGAAGCTGTGGGGGAGAGAGTAGAAAACAGCCAATGATCTGTAGCATTTCATTTTCTTTTCCACAGCCGTGTGTGAGGTAAAATACCATCTTCCAGTCCTTTTCTATATGATCTAGGGTAGTCTACTTTTCTCTATGCCCACGTAAAACAACATATTTTCCTTAAACTAGAAGAGTTTGGCTTTATCCCAGTGAACTTAGACAATAAGAATGTTTACATTTATTTCTTTGTACATTTATTCAATTCTTCTCATCATAGAGTGTTTTCAAATAATTTGAGGCAGCTTTATCAACAGCTCTATACTAATGGCTCAAGAAGATCAATGAGCCAGTTTCACCAGAGTCCTTTACGGTACCAAATGTTCCTAACTCTGCCTTGACTCTTGGTGCTACTTCTCTAGATCTCTCCCAGTGTGGAACACAGGGGCAGACATACCACCTTTGCAGAGGAGTATTCAGGATTCCTGGGTTCTTTAAACCTCAGAATATAGTGAGCTGTTACACTGGAAATCAGATTATCAGATGACTACTGGCCTTATGTTTTTTCCACGTGAATATATTCTGTGACATTCTCAAGGGTTCTAGATGTTGCCGAGTAAAATGCATTATGACAACATTTGGAAGGTCAGAACTTTCCAGACCTTCTATATGATGATGGATGATCATAAAAACTTCCTCTTGAACATTTAACATGTCAATTTGGAAGGTATCATTTAAAATATTCTCTTATTCTTTTGGTTATACTTAATTTTATTATCTTTACTTCCCCTACAGGAAAAACAATGAAGAACTTTCGCCATGAGGTGAGTAAGAAAGACAAAGAAAAAGCCATTCGAAATTTGATAACACAAGCCCCTCCAGGAGAATTTATAGACAGTTTTAACGACCTTTCTTTACTCGTTCAAGATGAAAAATTAATGCGACAATATGGCGAATGGGCTGGTAACAAATACTGCAAAAAATATTTTGTACCACTCAACATAGATGGACATCAAGTACTACTTTCTCACCACAATGAACTGGGTGACCAGCGCTTCTTTGACTCTCATACCAGGCTTTCTTTCAAATTTGATGTTCTTCAGAATCAGTTGAAAGACATTCAGAGTCATGGTGTTCTACGTAATGAGGCAGAATGTCTGAGGATGGTGGTATTTTATGCTTTAAAAATCTATGTGAGCAAACACTTCCCATCAGGAAACTGCAGTGTACTTAGGAAAACCATAAGAAATAAAGAGTTCTTAATAGCCTGCATAGAAGATCATCATTACAAAGCTACAGATTACTGGAACGGCCTTTGGAAATCGAAATGGATTTTTTCAATAACTCCATTTCTCACCCAAGTAATAGGGTCAATTTATGTGAAAGCACACTTCTTTAAACAAGTCAACTTTCATCTTGATATCAGCAAGGATGTGCAGGACTACTTGGATGTGGTTAACCAAGCTCAACTGGCTTTAGGTTTTGCCAAGTTAGTAGAAGAGCAAGAAAACAAATTTCAAACTGCAGTCATAGAAGAATTCCAGGACCTACAGGTTTCACTGAAAAGAATTATAAGAAGAGATCTTCCAGTGACCCGTACTTATATCAACTGGCAGAGAATAGTAAATGACATAAAGTTGGTGATGTATCCTAGGCTTGGATATGTCAATTACTCAAAAAATGTGTTATGCCACTGGATCACATAAAGGATTTGTTCCTGGAGATGGGCTGTTCTTGATTGGGTCATTGTAAAAGGGGAGTAGTGTTCTGCTTTGCTTTTTTTTTTCTCTAAAAGGTAAGCATTTCCTAGAATGTGTCTGAGCAAAGAAATCAAAGAATAGAGGGGATAGACAATTTGTGAAATTGTAAGAGATTTCTCTAAGCCAAGGCTGAGTCACTTAACCTCTTGGAGAATGAACTCCTTCCCAGAACTGGTCCAGTAGAACCTGACTTTGGCCCAGAGATTCTTCTTACTATAATAAAAATGAAAATCTCTTATTTCTGGTTTGCTACAGCAAAATGAGGAAAAATTCAACCTTCTACCCTCATAAAACCTTATCTCCCGAATGTCACAATGTTAGCACTGTACCTGGTTCCTTGGCTTTGGTACCCAATCCATCTTTCCTTTCTTTCCTCTTTACTACACACTCTAAATTGCAATTGTAGTTTTCTAAAGATACTTTTTAAGGGGAAAAAAAGACTTAAGAGAAATAATCGATAATATTTTTGTAGGAACAAATCTGTGATTTTATTGGTATAGAGAATTCTCAGTGAGGATACTCCCTACCAATACAGATAGATTCCTATTTGCATAGGGCACTAAGAGGTTGTGTGATCTGCCCAAGGTCATACAGCCAGTTTCCATCAGAGGCGGGACTTGAACTCTGTTTTTTCTGACCCCAAGGCCAGTTTTCTATACACTATGCATAATGCCTTTCATTAACAATAACAGCTACCAAAGTTTCAGATGATCAAAAGTACATGTAAAAGAATTGTATCTTGCACAGTTTTCTAGACATGTTTCAGTTAGGTAATGTGCCTCCTAAAATTTAGTTCCCAGGACTAAATTGTACTCCAGATGTGGTTTGACTAACAGAGTACTATGGGCTTATCGCTTTTCTCATTTTGAACCCTATACTTCTGTTAATTCAGTCTTAGATTGAATTAGCTCTGTTGGCAATCATGTTCTATTAACTTATAGTGAATTTCAAATCCAATAAAAACTCTGGCCAGGCCTTTTTCATTAAACTACCACTTATTTCTATCACTGTTATTGTATACTGGTACAATTGTGAGTCCAAGGAATTGATTCAACCTTTATGTGTGTGTCCTTACTAAATTTCACTTTGTTCAAGTCATCCCACCCTTCCAGCTTACAAAGATCTTTTGGATCCCTGTTCTATCATCTTAATTTGTACTTTTGCAATGGTTTATATATATTATTTTAACTATACATAGATCATATCACCCTACTAGATTATAAATGCTCTCAGGGAAGCTTTTATCTACTTTTTTCTCCCCCAGAACCTGGTACAGTGTTCTAAAAATAGCAGGTTAATAACTTTTTATTTATAAGAGGGATGATCCCATGGAACATACACTTTGACTCCATTGGGATGGATATGTGTTTTTACTTAATTGATATGTCTGGTCCACACATCCGAGTTGTTTTGAAGACAGCCAGTAATTGAACTCTGAAGATATTCCTCAGTAGGCTGTGGAAAGGTTCCATTCCTCTTCTTTTTAAACAGACTCTTTGGGACTGTTCCAGTGTTTTTCTCCCTATTCCAACAAGGAGAAAGAAGAATTTTCTCCTCCTCTCTACCACACAACCACTGGCAATGTTGACTAAAATCACAGAATAATCATTATATTCTGGTCTGAGTTTGAGTGATTGGCAACCTTCTTTTCTTGTATGTTTCTTTCTTGCTTAAGCACAGATCTGCAGCAAGGAACCAGTAATCTTGAGAGATAAACACGCTCAACTGCCTGAGCAGCAGTTACCTTATAAATTTGAGAGTTCTGGGCTCCTAAATCAGTCTCAGTTGTTCATTAGAAGGTAATTCCTGATAGTGGTGGATCAGTGAAATAGATTACACAAGACACAGTAGTCAATTATTATAGTAATCTATTGTTTGATAAACCAAGAGACTCCAGTTTCTGGAATAAGAACTCACTAATTGACAAAAACTGCTAGGAAAACTGGAAAATAGTATGACAGAAACTAGGCTTAGACCAACATCTTACACCCTATACCAAGATAAAGTTAAAATGGGTACACAATTTAAATATAAAGGCTGATACTAGAAGCAAACTAGGAGAGCAAGGAATAGTTTGCCCGTCAGATTTATGGAGAATGGAAGAATTTATGACCAAATAATAGATAGGAAACATTATGAAATGCAAAATGGGTGATTTTGATTACATTAAATTGAAAAGTTTTGCACAAACAAAGCCAATGCAACCAAGACTAGAAGGGAAACAGAAAGCTGGGAAACAATTTTTACAACCAATTTCTCTGATAAAGGCCTTATTTCTCAAATATATAAAGAAATGAGTCAAATTTATAAGAATACAAGTCCTTCCTCAATTGATAAATGGTCAAAGGATATGAACAGGCTGTTTTCAGATGAAGAAATTAAAGCTATCTATAGTCATATGAAAAAGGGCTCTAAATCACTATTGATTAGAGAAATACAAATCAAAACAACTCTGAGGTACCACATCACACCTATCAGATTGGCTAATATGACAAAACAGGAAAATGGTAAATGTTGGAGAAGATGTGGGAAAATTGGGACATTAATGCATTGTTGGTGGAGTTGTGAAATGATCCAACCATTCTGGAGAGCAATTTGGAACTATGCCCAAAGGGCTATAAAAATGTGCATACCCTTTCACCCAGCAATGACACTTCTAGGTCTGTATCCCAAAGAGATCATAAAAATGGGAAAAGTACCCACATGTACAATATTTATAGGAGCTCTTTTTGTGGTGGCCAAGAATTGGAAATTGAAGGGATGCCCATCAATTGAAGAATGTCTGAACAAGTTATGGTATGTGAATGGAATGGAATGCTACTGTTCCATAAGAAACAATGAGCAGGCAGACTTCGGAAAAACCTGGAAAGACGTACATGAACTGATGCTGAGTGAAGTGATCAGAACCAGAAGAACTTGTACACAGTAACAGTTAATGTTGGCTAATTGATTTTGCATTATGATCTATAAATAATGTGTTTAATTTTTCTGCATTTATTCATGAGTGGTTTGCACCTTAGTACAGGTCAAGCTTTGTAAAATTATTATGCAATACTGAAAAATATACTCCTTAAGCAATTTAGTAATTACCAAAGGTTGAACATGCTTAATTTTTCAAATTTAATGTTTTCAAATCCTTAGCTTCTTTCTTAATTATATCCTTTATATTTGTCTGAGTGAGAAACAAGCATGTTGAAATACCCAACAATTATTTATTTACTATCTTTGATAGGACTGATATCTACCATAAAGGCTCCCCACTCCTCTTCTCCTTTCCCCCACAACATGGATAAGTTTTCTCCAAAAGTTTACAAAGCTGTCCTCAGGGTCTGATTGACACATGCCTCTCAGATGCAGTTTCCTTGTAGCTTCTGACTGTATCAATGTGCTTCCTGGTCACCTAAGGGCATAAAAAGAGTCCTACCACATGAAGTCTGGGCCTCTTTGACTTGGTGGAAGTCTGAAGATCATGCAAGTCATCACACCCTCCCCTGCTAACAACAAGGATACAGTGGCCCTTAGCTTTTATATGTTATCTTCCCCATTCTTTTTGCTTATATTCATTTCACCAGTGCTGAGCACAGACCTAGCACATAGTAAGCACTTAACAAATCCTTCTTGTCTTGCCTTGCCTTCTCTTATCCTATTGAAGTTCATCCTGTTCCAACCATGAACACTGGATTATCCATAGCATCATTTTCTCTCTTCCTCACATACTGCTAAATGCTATTGGAGGGTTGCACAGCCATGATGAATTGGTGCATTAAAAATTTATATAATCTAATGTCACCTGGACCTACATTGCTTCATAGTAACCTTTTTACTCTTTTCTGATTAACTCTATTGCACACACCAACAACTGTAACAAGCCTTTTCTCTCCACAAGCCATTTTCCTTCCCCTAATTCCCAAGAGCGAAAAACCTATACTTTCTCACACAATTAAAAAAATTGACATGAATTCCTTCACCTCAGTTCTAAATCTCAAATCCCTTTTGCATTATCCCCCACTCTCTCATCATTTTTGGTCATATCTGAAAGAAAGAGATGGTCTTTCTTGCCAAGGCCATCTCTTCTACTTTTGCTATTCATCCTCTCCGTATCTACTGCTGCTGCTTCTTTTCTTCTTCCTTATCCTCCTCCTCCTTGCCTTCCTTCTCTTTCTTCTTTTTTCTTCCTTCTTTCCCTCCTCTTCTTCCTCCCTCTTCTTTTCCCCCTTTTCCTTCCCATTCTTTGCCTTCTCCTCACTTTTTTCTTTCTCCTACCTCTCCTTCTATCTCTTTATCTCTGTCTCTGTCTGTCTCTGTCTCTCTATCTTTGTGTATGTTTCTTTCTTTCCCTATCTCTTCCCTCTTTCTACCTTGATGATCTCAGCAGCTTTCATGGGTTCAGCTATCATCTGTATACACACAGATGACTCCCAGATCTACTTAGCCAGTCCTCATCTTTCTCTTGAATTTCAGTTCTGAATCACCAACTTTCTGTTAGACATCTCTCAAATGTACGATTAACATCTAAAACTCAGCAGGTCCAAAACAGAATTCTATCTCCTCCCCAAACCCACAGACTTCCTAATTTCCCTACTTTTACAGAGGTCACCATTATCCTTGTTGTCATTGAAGTCCACAATCTTGGAGTCATGCTTAGCACTTCTCTCTTCCTTGTACTCTTTCCTCTTACAGCTCTACAATCTTTCTTGCATCTACCCCATCTCGTTTACTGACACAGTCAACATCCAAGTTCAGGCCCTCATAATCCCTCATTTGAACTCTTGCAGTGGCCTCCTAGTTGATCATAATTGATCTCCCTGCCTTCAGTTTCTCCCCTCTCCAGTCCATCCTCCATAAAGTTGCCAAATTAATATTCCTAAAGTGAGATTCTGACTATGTCACTCCCTTGCTCAAAAGCTTCAGTGGTCCCCCATTATTTCCAAGATCAACTGCAAACT